ATAGAATTTCTAAGGTTGATGTTTTATCTACATCCATTAATGAAGTTAGTATTGATGATCATGATCATGATGATAGTACCATTTCTCTTATTCAACCTTAACAAAATAATTATTTAATTGCCTAAGATAAAACAAAAAGACAAAGACTAGCTACATATGTTAATGATAATTTAACTATTTGTGCATTGTCTATATTGAACCTTTTTCTTGTGTTGATTCTTTAAAGTGGTTAGTAGTATGAATGAAGAAATTGAGAGTCTTCATAGGAATCATTAAAATGCAAATGGGCTTACAAGAGAAAAGAAGCGATTCTCAATTGAAGATCTTAGATGCAAAGCACAATTAGTTGTAAAAGACTTTAGTCATAACTAAGGTATTAATTTTAATGAGATTTTCTCACTTGTCATTCATCATACATCTATCTGTGTTTTGCTTGGTTTTTTGGCTTTATTTGAAGCAACATGATGTTAAGATAACTTTTCTACCCAAAGAGTTGAAAGAAGAAATCTATATGGAGCAATACAAGGGATTTGTTGTTTTTGATAAGTAGCATTTAGTCTATTGATTAAAGGAAATCTTTATATGGCCTTAAGCAAGCTCTAAGGTAGTGGTACAAAAGATTTATTTCCTTTATGATTGGGCAAACTTATTCTAAAAGTCAGTTTGATGAATATGTTTATTTAAAAGAATTTTCAAATAGGTCTTTTATATATTTGTTACTTTATATTGATAATATGTTAATTGCATCATGTGACAAGTCATTGATAAGGGAGTTGGAAACTCAACTCAATAATGAATATGATATGAAGAAATTTGGTGCAACAAAAAAAATTCTTGGCATAGAGATTCAGAGGCATTATCAAGCAGGAAAATTGTTTTTATCATAAAATAAATATATTGAAAGAGTACTTGAAAGGTTTAATATAAGCAATTGTAAGTCTGTTTCTACTTTACTTGCTGCACATTTCAAGTTATCTTCAAACCTTTGTCCACATACAGACAAGAAAAATGAGTATATGTCACATGTTCCTTATGCTAGTGCAATTAGTAGCTTTATGTAATTGCAAACCTGTTTCTACTTTACTTGTTGCACATTTCAAGTTATCTTCAAAACCTTTTTCCATAGCCAGACAAGGAAAATAAGCATATGTCCATGTTCCTTATGTTAGTGTAATTGGTAGCCTTATGTATGCAATAGTGTACACTAGACCTGATTTAGCATATGTTGTTAGCAAGATCAATTAGTATATGCATAATCTTGTCAAGGATTATTAGACTATTGTAAAATAGATTTTTTGGTATCTAAAAGGCACTTCTGATATTGTTTATTGTTTGATAGAAGCGAGACTACAACCAATGAATGATGTTGTAGGTTTTGTTGATTCATACATTTATACTATAATGGTGATATTGACTGAAGAAGATCTTTTTATAATTATATCTTTACTCTTTGTAATGGTGTTATTAGTTGGAAAGCAACCTTAAATCTATTGTTGCATTATCTATGACTGAAGTAGAATATGTTGTGGTGATCGAGAGTGTGAAAGAGGCTCTTTGACTTTGATGTTTGGTCAATGAACTTGGTATAGTACAAGATTATCTTGTTATATTTTGTGATAGATATAGTGTTATTCACTTGACCAAGAATAGTCGTTATCACGACTAGACTAAACACATTAATATAAAATATCATTTTATCCAAGATACTATTGTTGTTAGTAAAGTTGTAGTGAAAAAGATCCATACATTCAAAAATCTAGCAGATATGTCTTTGTAGTGTTTGAAGACATAGTAATTAACAACTAGTTGAATTTGAGCCTAGGTGAAGAATTTTAAGTGTATGACTTAATTTTCACTTTATTTTCTACCATTGAAACCAATTATCATAACTTTAGTTTCGTACTAATCTCAAATTTATTTATTAGTTTTAATTCATTTATATCTTATATAAAAAGGAGTTATTAGTTTTTACATCATCAATTCACTGTTCATCTTTGTTTTTTTTTTTTTAGAGAGTTTTCTTCTTTGTTTTATCCTCAACATTATAAGAGGATTTTGTAGTGAAATTATGTTGTTATTATTTCATTTATATTCTTATAATTTTTTAGTTGATTTTGATCTTGTGCTTTAGCATAACACATATGCCTTAACATTAGGTGAGAGAAAGTGAATGAATTTGAATGAATATAAGTGTGAAGTAATGAATAGAGAGAAAACTTTTTCAACCATAATACATTTATAGGAATAGAGAAAAATAAATAATAAATTTTGGTTCCACTCATAGGGAGAATATCATTTTTCTATTTTGCCTTTGGTTATGGTGGAGTTAGTAACGTGATTATTAGGAGAATTTTTTTAATTATAAAAATAAAAGATAAGTTTGTTGAATTTGGCTAAAATGAGTACTTATTTTTGAATGAGGTAAGTATTAACATATTGTTTATCTATTAATAATAATGCTTTTTAATTATTTATTTGTTTATTAGTTTATCTCTTTAGTAAGATATATTTATTTTTATCATTGTTTATACTTGATAATTTAATGTTTGATTTTAGGCATGTACATACTAGTTTTGTTTGGTTTGATCTTCTTTTTTTTTTCCCCTCATTTTGGTAGTATTTCATATAAGTACTCTTTCATAAAAAATGTTAACTCCATTAAAATTTAATTGGTAATCGTTTTATTTCTTATAATCTCCGACGAAAACAGTATATCTCAATAAAAGTTTTAGTTTTCTCTCTCTCTCTTTTTTTTTTCAGTTTTCTTTTTGTTTTTACTTCCTATCAACAATGTGTTTTTTTCATTCTTTGAATTCTGACAAAAATTTTTCTTTTTCTTTCCTCCTCTTACCCATCTTCTTTGAACTTTAACATTTTGTTTTTGTGACAATACTGACCATTATGATTGATAGATTTGACACTTCAAATGTTGTGTGTATACAGAGAGAAGGAGAGAGATTAAACATTTTATACATATAATTGCTTCTTTAATATGTGGATTTTGAAAAGAGTAGTGAGTTATCTTTTAAAAAATAAAGATTTTTCAATGAGACCTAAAAGGGTTTAGGCTTTTGAATTGAAGAACATCATGATATCTTATCAAAAGGAGAAAAAGAAGAAGATAAGAGTGAAGATTTTTGTTAGAGTTTAAAAGAGAGAAGAGGTGTGAATGATTAATAATTATTAATTTTAAGAACTAAAATTAAATTTGAGTGTAAATTTTATGTTGTTATTTAATAAAATATATAGCTAAATTTGTTGACATTAATCATCAAAATTTTATACTTATATCACTTAATAATTTATCGTAAAATGTAATATTTTTTATTTAACTTATGGTTTGAAAGCTTTTATCAAGTAAATTAAGTTTTTATACAACACTATAAATAAATATTAACTACTAAATAATATATATACATAGAGAAAAATCTTCTTACGTTAAAAATTATACTTTATCTAAGTCTTTTATTTAACTTACAACTAATGGTCAGTGAAGATTTTTGTTAGAGTTTGAAAGAGAGAAGAGGTGTGAATGATAGGTGTGGATGAACAAGACATTCATGACAATAATGATTAATAATTATTAATTTTAAGAACTAAAATTAAATTTGAGTGTAAATTTTATGTTGTTATTTGATAAAATATATAGCTAAATTTGTTGACATTAATCATCAAAATTTTATACTTATATCACTTAATAATTTATCGTAAAATGTAATATTCTTTTATTTAACTGATGGTTTGAAAGCTTTTATCAAGTAAATTAAGTTTTTATACAATACTGTAAACAAATATTAACTACTAAATAATATATATACATAGAGAAAAATCTTCTTATGTTAGTGTAAGTTTAAAAAAAATTATACTCTATCTAAGTCTTTTATTTAACTTACAACTAACAGTCAGTGAAGTAATAAGTTATAACTTGTTAGATATAAATTAAATGAAAAGCTCAAATCAAGTAGAAGAATTTTCAGACTTAAACTAGTACGAGAAGATCCCCCCTCTCTCTCTCTCTCTCTCTATATATATATATATATATATATATATATATATATATATATAATATGCACATATACACACATATACAATTATAGAGATTACTATTACATAATTTAATAATTATATTGACAAATTTCATATTTTATTTAAAAAATTATTAAATAATATAAAAATTTAATATAAATAATTCACATTTCTTTGTCTCATGAACACATCACTACTAACAAAGAATAGACAATAAATAAAATCTAACTAAAAAGACAAGAAGTCTAAACTTGACAAATTAAATAACTTAAGAACCCATGAAACAAAACCTTGCTTTTGGGTGCATAATTTTTTAATGCCTTGTAGTGGAAATTATCAAGTTAGTGTAGATAATTTCGCTGAAATTAGTTGTTAGTCAATTTCTCCTTATAACTAAAGCATCTAACTAAAGATTATTTTACTAAATACAATTATAGAAAAAAATTTATTTATCTTTTATCTAATTTTTTTTCTCGTATAAAGACTTTTCTAATACATTTTTTTCTAGATAGAATCATAATTTGCATATAACTTACAAAAATATATTTTTAATTTGTCTCATTAAATTTTATTGGTAAATATATGCCGAAAACTATCATTTAAAAAATAAGTTACATGTCAATCTCATTAATAACTGTTTAAAATAATAACTTCATACCCCAAAAGTGTTACTATTAAAAAAAAATATTTCTCAAAAATTGTGATCATAATGCAAGAAAAGCCCTAAGTCAACAGCCTAAAAGATATTGATTTCCAAACCATTTACATTTTTTTCTTTTTTATTTTTTTATTTTATTTAATCCAGATCACGCATGTTTACTGAAAATTTTTTACATACGTAAAAATCCAAACCCGAAACTTTACTTTTGCATTTCTTTTTTCATGCTTGCATTGACGTTTTAATTTTACAAATAACAATCTAATCACAATTTTATAAAATGAAAACAATTAAATCGACGCAATTTAATTTCCTTAAATCTAAATATATCAATCCTTATAATACTCCGTTCAAAAACTGGAATCGTCATGACCAACAGAAAGCCATCCTCTGGCTAGCCCTTTTGCACGTTCAGTCTCTACTTTTATCAGGTGTCAAACTTCCAAAAATTTGAGTTCATACAAATGAACCCTATTACAGTTCAATCAATGATAGCCATCATTGACCAAAAGGAAAAAAAATGATAACCATGTTGCAATTGACAAACAATGCGCCTACGACCATAATGAGAGGGGAGACCCAGAAAAAACAGACTTCGGAGCAGACAACAAAACATCTTGGCATATATATACCTTCATGCATATGATGGGCACCCATCCGCTTCTTTACCACTTTTCTGAGACACAATTTGAGCAACTTCTTCCAGTGCCTATATTCTAAATGGCTATGTAGATTACAGTTCTGATACACATCTTATAGGGTGTCTATATAATTTAAAGAGGATCTTGCATCTCAACCATTGAGATACACCGACTGTAGATACCCAATATTCATCCAAAACTTAGCCTAGCCCATCCACAACTTCAACATTTTATCCTTACCACCAGAGGCTACCTTCTCTCCATCTGGACTCCAATCAACAGAAAAAACCTTTACGAAAGAAAATAGGCTTAGGTCAGCCACCAGTATGAAAAAATATGTAAAAAAATTATTCAATCTTTTGGTACGTGAACAGCATACTTCATCCGCATGGCCTGGAAGATCTTGCTTCAACTTACGTGTCCGGATATCCCAAACCTTGAAAACCATACACAATGAAAGGTCAAAGTTCTTATCAAGTAAATTGAAAATTTCAGATGTACAAACTAAACTAAAAATGTTCATGTCTTCATGATACATATCCTTTCTTATAAAAGGAAAATTATGCTTACCTTAAGTGTTGAATCTTTGCTGCCACTTAAAAGAAGTCGGCTATCTGCAGACCAGCTGTAGTAAAAGCCAATATACTTTATTACAGTTCTAAATTAAAAATCTTTGGATTCCAGTTTGAAGTAAGATGGAATTACTTATGCTATACCTGATCTGGTAAACAGGCCCAACATGGCCTCGAAAGGCAGCAACAAATTTCCCAGTGGTGCCATTCCATAACTTCACAGATTTATCAAAAGATGCACTTGCCACCCACTGCCCATCAGGTGAAAAATAGACATGGTTCACAAGCTGCCAGCAACCAAGTTTAACTTTTATCATTAAGCCTAAAAGATGGAATATGCAGATAAACAAAGTCGTAACTTAATTTTGTGATTAAATCTGCATAACAATGAAACCAACTTCAGTCAGCAAAAATTGATAAAAAATGGGGATCAGCAAATACTTATTACTATTTGAATTGATCAAACAAAAGAACAACCTTCTGCTACTCATGGAGTTTGACCTCATCATGTTTTTTAGTACCAAGAAACCATACTATATCAGAGAAGATTTCTAAACCTAGTTAGCTTCTCAATAAAGCTGATACAAACTGAAGTCACATTGCAATTTGAAGATCATTTTGGTTTATTCTCATTATCATACTTTAAATGTTAAGAGAAAAAATGAAAAAGTTGTACCTGCTGATGACCTGTCATGCGTGTTTTCGGGTGCTTGCTGATGAAAGGTTCCCAAAGGAACATGGTAAAATCATCAGATCCAGAGACCAATCTTTCAGGGGCATTGCCTCTCATTGCTTGGTACCTTTCAAGGGCAACCTACATTCATCAGCAGCATAAATATTAAATATCAGACAAGAAAAATATAATCTGAAAGAAAGGTTAGACAGAATCCTTCCTTCTAAGCAAAGAACCCAGGAAGTCATGATGCAATATGGAAGGCAGCAAGCAGAACAAGAGTTCAAATTTCACAGCATACAAAATTACAAACCTCAAAAACATTAAATTAGTCATTAAAAATTCTTAATTCTTAAAAATAATTTCGAAGTAACTTCAAATAACATTTTTATAATCAGGCCTTATCCCGTAATCCCATTACTTGGGGTTGGCTATATGAACAAAACAATGTCATTGGGCGGCACCATAAAAAAACTTCGTTTTGGGATCAGCCAAAATATAGATATGTAGTTGTTGATATTTATTTAATTGATTCAATACAATAGACCAATCCAATTATCCTTATTTTAGGCTTTTCATCTAAACTTATCTATTTTTTTAATTAAAGTTCTCCACAAAAGAGGAATTATGCATTTTCGCCGAACAAATAAATTGAAATAATAATAAATATATTTGGTAAATTTCCCAATGGTAATAGAAATATAGATTTAGGGAACAAGTTGTGTTTTAAAAAAGAGACCAAACCACCCACTTGAACAGTCAGACAATAAATTGGCGATCTCCAGCTCAATCATAGTTTATGGTTCAACTACATGTTTAACTGATTGAACCAATTGAACCATAACTCAAAGGTCACATTGATTCAATATTCAACTTGGTTTCTTAAGAATTAGGACCAAGGGAAAATTTACAAGTTAAATTAAGATTTTAAAGATAATTCAGTAAAATATGAGAATTTTAGAATATCTATAACTAATATTTTTATAACTTGTTTTATGCATCTCTATTACATATGACAGTAAAATATAAGTCTCTTTGTTCAAAAGAAAAACACAATTGAGATAATATAAATATAATATTTTCCAATGAGCAAGCTGCCTATTAGCATTACGGGTCATGATAAGTTCGTATTTTGACCCATTTGTATAACTCATATGTTTATGTTTAACCTTTATTTTATTTGAATTTTATACTGATTTATATATTAATTTTGTAATTTAATATAAGAAGGCCACAATTGTGTTTAAGGAGTGCTTTGGGCCCAAATTGGTTCCAAAATTAAGCTTCGCAACAGTCAACATGCCCAGACCTTAAAAGTAAGTACAGGGATACTTCGAGCCCATGCACGCGTTCATCTGCGAGAAACCCAATTATGAAAGACTTTTAAAGTTTTCAAATATTATTAAAGAGACACCTTAGGCATCGAATTATACACCCTTTTCTGGCTTAGGATATACTTTTCATCTCATCTTTCTTACATGGGATCCTTTGATATATTCTTAGTGGTACTTGAAGCTTTAAGCGACCGTATTTGAGATCGGAAACTCATCTATTTCTAGTTTGCTTTTCTTTATGACTTTATTTATGATTGCTCTAATTCTTTCCTTTAATATGAGTAACTAAATTCATAGCTAAGGTTATGTAAATTTTTGTTTTTAAATTTATGAAATTTTGATGTTTGAATCTAAGTTTAATTTCTATTGGTGATTAGTTTTTATCCTATTGTGTATAATTGTATAATTATAATTAATAATATCGTCGGACAACCGTATCTCAATTAGTTAATGAATTTATAGAATAAATCAAGACAAATAATTAGGTGGACTAAACTAATTTTTTTCTTCTAATCGTTATTAAATTAACAAGTTCATAAGTGTTTTATACTTTCTTGAATTAATATCTTGCATGATTATAGTAAATATTAGTTTAGAGAAAAGAATGTTAATATTCTATAACAATTAGGTATTGATAACAATTGTATGAATGATCGGTAATCACAAGAAAATTGAACTTACAACTAAACGAAAAATTAACATAAATGATTGAATGAAAAAATACATATGCTCTAGGTTTCTCTTCTATAAGTTCAACCAAGACGTATGTTGTGTTATTTACTTTTATTCATAATTAATTATTCTTACATAATTTCACATTCTCTAGGCTCAAACAATTGAATTGAAAATTTTTAGTAATTAGAAAATAATTCTTGATAAAAACACTTTATTATTTTTCAACAGGTACACTCTGAACAAGTCACCTTCTGCTATGAAAGACTATAGTTTGATCCATGAACTTTTCTTTTCAAGTAAAAAAAACTTGCATTGCAGGTTAGAATCAACACAACCCTCACAATTCAAACCACAATATTGATGTGGTCAAATGAACTGTGGTCCAATTCTACAAACCCAAACTCTGGCCTACCAAATCCAACCAGCCATAGTAGGAGTATGTTTAGCAACTATGGTTCAAAGGGCTAACTAACATGACCATTAAACAAATAACAATTACCTTCTTCATTTCTTCCGAAGATGAATACTGTTTTCCAGTATGATCAAAAGCTCCAGTGCGTAGAACATATTCAGTGCTCAATGCCAAAGAATTAACCCAATGCCCATGTCCCTAAAATTAATTGCAAAATATGAAAAAGAAAAAAAAATTAGTATGGAAAGTAAAGACAACAATATATTGCCGTCATCACTGAGAAAAAAATAAGGGTTGAATATTAGCAGGAAGTTTAAAACAAAATACATGAGATGTATTTGATGTAAAAATAAGAATAAAAGAACAAGACAGAAAACAACCAAGAAAGGAGAAATTCAAAGGAACAAACTACAATGTTGCCCTTAACATGGAAAAATAAAATTCCACAAAAAAATTTTCTAACATAAATTTATTAAAATTTTTAAAAAAGAGACAGAAGAATTTTCATAATAGAACTAATTAAAACTAAAAATACAAATTCCTTGTTCTCTTGAAATTACAGATTAATATAAGTTTGATAAACTATATAAACTATATAGTTTTTAGGGTTAACCCTAAACCATAGAGCCTAAACCCTAATTGCTAGGTGTGTGATTTTATATAAATTTCATGTTAACATTCTAACAAAGAATAAAAACAAAACACGGAGTAAAATCATTCAAGATCGAGGCAGCTACATCTGATTAGCATAAAATACACTTGAATGATAATATCAAATAACTAATATGAAGCACTAAATGAGACAAAGGAGTAATCCATATAAAAAATCACGCTCAAAACGAGCACATATAAAATTAGACTGCAAGTAGCATTCAACCACAAAGGGATGAGTTCCACCTTCAGTTCACGAATTAGCTTCCCTTGTGTTGTTTCCCATACTTTGATTGTACAATCCTGGGAGCTGTAATAAAATAACACAGTTAAGGCTCCAAGCAGTAATACAGAATTACAGTCATAAATAGCCATTAATTTAAACAAAAAAGGGGGGAAGCCCTACTGCATAACATAATTAACATCAGGATCAGTTGAACTAAAGGTCTAAAAATATGATCTACAAACTTAGATAGCCACTAGTTAAAATCATAAAATTAGAATTTAACTTAAATGAGTTTTGTTTCCAGCAGGGGTATGCACGAATAATTTTCCTAAAGATTGAAGTACACTATATTTGTGAGAAACAGATTATGACCCCAATGGCCAAATAAAATGAATCTCATAAATGTCAATTAAGAACTTGATATAGCAGCTGAGCTACTGTACTAATATCCTAATTCATGCAAAAAAAAGAAAAAAAAAGAGTACAAATATATTCTCAGACTTAAAACTTCAGAGAAAGTGGAAGGAAAGAGGAAGAGAATACCCAGTATAAATTACACCATCTCCACCCCATTTTAGACAAGTTATAGCAAGTGTGTGGCCACTGAGACACAAAACACATTTCTTTAAAGAGATATCCCAAATACGAGCGTCCCCATCTTTGCTGGCACTTACAAAGCGGCGGCATGGAGCATTTAAGTGGACAGGTTCCCATGCGATACCAGTAATCCATTTTTTGTGGCCCTACATTTAGTATAATATGAATTTTGTTATCCAAGAAATGTTATAATGATATAAAACACTTTGAACAACATCTATTATCAACATAAATACTCAACTAATCAAAATAATTGTTCAACTATGCAACCAAAAATAAATAAATAACAATTCATCTAAAACATTTTTGCAATAAAGCATGTTGTTCTTTTATTTTTTATAAATGGAGTGGAAAGGGAGAAAGATAGAAGCACAATTAGTATTATTAATCAAACTTATTGTTGAAGTCTCACATCCTATGAGCTAGCTTTTGGGGTTGAATTAGGTCTAAAGCCCAAATTCAACAATTCTTAACATGGTTCAATGCAAAATTAGGAGGAAAAAAAAAAAAAGATTTATAATAGAAATTGGTATTCAAGGTTAAAGATTTTATACAATTAATGGATTGCCTAATGACTTTCCCGTTTGCGGGTCCCAACAATGAAGTTCTCCAGCCTTGCTCCCACTTACAAGATGTTTTCCATCTGGTGACCATGCAATACAAAGGACCCAGTTCTTGTGTCCTGCATAAAATCAGTTTATGACACATTCTAGTTAAAATTGGAAAAAGATATTCGAAAAGGAATGGCTGCATGAGAAAAATAGAAACTGATATGACTAGCTACTCATGTCAGATGCAGACCTCTAGAATTCCTCAAAAGAGAACAAAAAAAAGAAACCAACATTTGATTTGAGATGCTTGTAGCCTCCCTCCCAATTCCAAATTTTCACTTGTCTTCTCATTTCCTATTCTTCCTCTTCTCATTCCTTCCCAACCAAATTCACACTTACCACTATTCCTTTAGTATCCAGTTATGCTCCAGAACTAACAGTAACAGCATGAATATTCCACTTATGTCCCATTTTCTACCTTACCCTAATTAAAAAGGAAATATTCTCCTCAGTATCCTTACCTACATGTGTTGATTCTATACATTTCATCCCCATTCTTGTAGCATACTACTGATAACAGGGATCCATCAGAAAAAGATTTAGCCTATGCAATCAATTGAAGAATTTTGTTCCTAGCAATACAATCATGAGCATAACCCAATATTTCCTTTTTTCAGCAGGAGTTAAATTGATCATTTCTATTCTTGTACTAAGAGAAGGATACATAAACATCAATTAATTATTTCTTGCTTTAATTAAACACAATTTTTGTTGGGCAGATCCCAAGACTAGCTTTATCATCTTTAAGCATCAAACCTGTGCAAGTGAACAATGGTGTCTGAGTGTTCAAGTCCCAAAACCGAACAGTGGTATCACCAGAACCACTTGCCAGGTGTCGCCCATCAGGACCAAAAGCAACGGTAAGTACTGCTTCTGCATGACCTACAAAATACAAACAATCCCAATCACATAAATTCCAGAGAACATGACAACAATACATATTTAAGCTAACATCTTCAACAGTCAAACCATTCTGCTGTTTAACATGTCTCAGCATCTGTCACCATATTTCAGGATAAAATTCCTGCATACAACATTGTGCCATCACATGAATTAAAAACACAATGCCTCATGTCTTACATACCAGAAATAGTTGCGGAGCAGCGATTCACAGGACGAATCCTGAATATAGCTTGAGGTTGACAAACTATAGGCAATGCCTTCTCCACTGAGACTGAAATAATGCAATTAACATTACAAAGGAAAAAAAAACATTAGTACAAATAAAATAATTAAGAGAATGAATTAAAATCAAACAAAACTAGCCTTTGTTTTTCTGCAAGTACGTTTCAAGTGCCACAAGGAGCTCCTCGTCTGATATATAGAAAGCATACGGTAATTTCTCCTCCTAAAATATGAAAATAGATAATCAATCAATGTCATAATAATAATAATAACAATAATAAGCTTACAATAAATATTTGATCCCTGCAATTGATACGCATTTATAAATTAGTACCTATACCCAAAAGGACTTACCTGTCAGTTCCTAACAAGTGTTTCATTATTCTTTGGTACTATAATTTTAACACTCGAACTAAATAGCATAAGCTTGATAAAACAATAATTTTTTCTAATAATATTAAAACGATAGAAACTAAAATGTAACAAACACCAGTTTAGGAACTAAAGCATAAGTTTTTTTAGTGAAGAACTAATTTGTAACGTGTGAATATAGAGGGAGCAAATATGTATTTGAAACTAATAATAATAATTGGAAAAAGAAAAGGGAATTACATTGTTTCGAAGCTTATTGACAATCTGGTTAAGGTGTTGAGGAGTAGCGTTTTGAGGAAGGTACATAGGAGCACCCAAAGGAGTTCCATCTGGGTCTGTCAAAAGGCACAGCACGTTGTTGATCATCTCCCTCTTATCCACCGCCATTGTCTCTGTCTCCATTTCCAACAAAGGTTTGTAGTTGATGATTGTTACTCTTCAACTGAGGGCTCGTTGGTACTTCCTTTTTTTTTAATTTCAAGAAATAATAAGGGCTCTTTCTCGCTAATAGAAAGCCAGTGCATGAAGATCCATTCCCCTCGTCCTACAACCTTCCCGCCTAAGGGGAAAGGGGTGGGTTGAGGCCTTTTGTTCGTGTTTCCTGGCCAAAATTAATGAGGAAATCACACCCGGATATAAATTCTAGCTCCACCAGGCTTCCACGATAGAACTATTAAATTATGTAATGTTAGTGAAAAATGGAACAAAGTCACTCGCTCTATAATCGATAGAGCTGTCAAAAAGCCAAACTAAACTAGCCCAGCCCTAACCCTAGGCCACATGGGTTAGGGCCAAGAAGTCCAATAAATTAAAGGTTCTGTGGGTCAAACCTACAGGGTTAGGGCCTTATAGAATTATTAATACAACATAACATGCAAAACAAAACAATACAAGATGGCATGAGACCGGTGAAACTGAAAAAACATAATACTCTTATAAATAGAAACTTTGATACAGACCACAGAATTGCAAAAAAATAAAATAAAAAATAAAAAATTATAGATAGAAACTCTTTTACAAACAATCCTTAAAATAATGAATAGCACCAAAGGGACCAATATTTACAATCCATAATAATAAAAATTAGAACAAGCACATTTAAATATTATTTGATAAATGTATTAACGCAAAATGGATTTTATTATAATGATACTGTCAATGAATTTAAAACAAGATACATGATCATGATGTAACATAAATCAGAATACAACTGCACAGAAACACAGGAAGAAATACAGTATTAACTACTTCCAACGGCAATATTATAGTTTCTAACAAATATCCTACAAACAGATACAATTAATAGCAGGAGCATTATTGGTTTGGTTCTGATAGTAGGATCATTATAACAACAAGGAATAAACATCTGCTATTTCGGATTCTAAAACAGCTAAACTACTTATGCTGAAGAACACAGTTAAAAAGCAAGGAATTGTATCAATTGCTTTCTGCCACATCTGAATTTAATTAACTTGACCACAGTGGGTCCAGGCCTTTCAGGGAAAGCAGTGATGGCCCTTACTAAAATTCACGCTCAGGGAAGAGGCACAATCTCTATTATCAGAACCAAAGGCTAAGCATAACCAACCAATATGCATCACTCTTATGGCTTTTACTTCATGCATCTTTTTTCCCCTCAATTTGTTTTGTTTTCATGGCTCCATCTTCCAATTGTAAAGATGGAACGCGATATCTATGTATGTGCATACACCAGGTTCAAGCCCCAACATTAACAATTATTTTAAGTCAAGATAATGTACTTATCTGTATGTTCATACACCAAATATAAATTCATTCTTGTCACTGGTTGTTGGTTTTTGTTAATTAAGAACTAAACGGGTCATCAACATAACGTACTTATTTGTAAACATAAACCAGGTTATTCAAATATAATAAGTATTTGCTTACAGCAAACAAGTGGGGCCTAGTTCTGATCAACACACGGTTGCTAATATGAGCATAGTAATGAGTCATAGTTTCTGCAGATCGGTTTGATGATTTTTAATTACAATGACAATTTTCACAGGTTTGATATATATTTGGTTCTGTCAATGCTTACAACACTAGACACTAACACTGGATTTGTATGTTTCTGCCCTATTCTGGCTAAAAACTTAATTCAGTTTTTAAGTTATAATTATTACTGCTTTATATATTTTTCAAGCATAATATAAAGTTTGTAGCCATATTATACATACCAAGTAAATATTGAGAGACAGTGCAGAACTGCTAATATTTTTATTTAATAATAACCTCTCTTATTCTGGTTTGTTAGAACGGTGGTTATGAATGACATTTCAAGTCATATTCCATTTTCTAAATATCTCACAATATAACACACCTTAGATTTAACCTCCATGTTTAATCCTACCAGATTTAATTATTTAAATGTATTTGTCTACCAACTGGCTTTTAGTAAACCAACTTAACCAGAGTTTGGAAAAGTACGCGATTAGGAACAAATTCTCGTTTCTAACAAGTATCCTACAAACAAATTCAGATACCACTTCAGAATTAATTCCTCATCAGGAACAGTGTAATAGGCGAGAGAAAAGTGATTTAGAGGAACTTTATAAAGTTATGTAATGGATTCTGCGCTTCTGATACATTTGCAGCTCAAAGAATTGGTAAAGCAGAAGAAAATGGACCCTACCGTTACAGCTTTTACAAAAAATTACTAGGACAGAGCCGAATATGGGAACACTTACTAGGCAGTATGCGGCGGTGGCGTTTCTAACGTTGCAAGCAGAAGGAAGTTGAAGAAGCTTAGTTTCATGAATACCCAAGCTTCTTGAATACCTGATGTGTCTCTTGAATGATGAAGCACAACCACTGAGGTTTCGTATCTTTTATGGGCGTCGCGACATTCCTTCTTCGCACAAAGTCCAAACAGTGTAACAAACCATCAAGAATGGGGATTTTGGAGAGTCACAAGCATTAGCCACTAATCCACAAACGAATTTGTGTAAGATTTTAGAGAATGGGGATTAGTGTTCTTACCAGGAACACTAAAGAAATGTCTGAAAAGTTTGCATATGATTTTGGAAAGTGTTAATAATTTAGGGTTTAATTCATATAGCGGCAAGGCTATAGATGCATTATTTCGGGACTCAGCATTGAGCTAAAGCCATATTTGACAGCTCTGATAATAAAATAGTGAAAGCAGGAGAGGAACGAAGGGATGAGGTATTCGTGATCCTTGGCACAACTCTAATCCCACGAGAAGAAAGAGAAAAAGTCTCATTTAGCACTGTAAGTTCCTCCGACGTGAATATTCATTTTGGGATGCTTGATAAGGGCAAGATCATACGAGTGGTCAACTTCCAACAAATAAGAAAGCAGCCATTAGGGTAGTGGCTCACTAGAGCTCGCGGGTTGGGACTAAAAAGTCCTCTTGGACTAAAAATCCAACAAATTAAAAATTATATAGGCCAAAAAGTTTCACATGACCAAGATTAAGGTCAAGATCTTATGGACGAAAAAAAATATAATCTGAAAACAGACATTTCAAAATACAAAAGTTTAAATAAGCATATCAAAGTGACCACCATGTAATAATTTGACTTAAGTTAACAAAGATGTTTTTCATTTAACTGCTGTGGACTTGCAGCATAAATATTAAACTAGTTTTATTTTGTTAAATACAATATCAAAACTAGTTTTAGTTTGTTAAATACAATATCACTCAATAAATATGCATTCAACAACAAAATATAACCCTTTTAAGAGTGATAATTGATAAGAATGCAACAAGTATAGCCAAATATAATGATGGTATTTTAATATTACATGACAGTAGCTAAAATTATAATGATGGTATTTTAATATTACATGACAGTAGCTAAAGTTTTCAAATCCCAGCACATCTTCTCAATGCTCTGCACTAGCGATGGGTCTAAACCGAATAGTACGCAAGTTGTAATACCAAGGAGGAGGTGCAACAAATCCCAACAGTGGAAAAATATGTTCCCCCTGCAACAACAACCCTTACCAATCTGAACAACTGGAACCAATTTGCTCAGCAGACGCTTTGGAAGCACTAGGGAATAATTTGCAAGAATAACCTCAGTTCCAGGCAATAATTCAAGGAGGATAGCCTTAAGATGAGCTAATTCAATGTAATTATTCACTTGAAAGCAAATTAACACTTACTTGCAATTAAGTTATTTTTCTGCTTTTACCGTTGATTATAGGAAAATCATATCTGCAGGAAGATAATAAAAATTCAAGCATTTAGCTTTATCTGTGTAACTATTTATACTGGAAAATAATTCTTCAGGTTAAAAATCTAGATCTGTTTGACACTTCAACCAAAATATACAGTACCTAACAGCTTAACAAGATATTACTGCAAAAAGAAAAATTAGCAGGGATTACTAAAAAGAACAATTCCATTCACAATACAAAGACTGTGATCCAAGCATAGCGGATCAGGCATCTAGTATCCTCCTAAATGAAGTAACAAAACTATAGAAACACAAAGGACACGATGCACTGAAATACATGCCATAAGCTTTTGATCCATGCATAAGGTCTACAATGCCCCTAAATATGACAATTAAAGACACTCACTTTATACACTGATCAGCGGAAGAAGGCAAGCAGATTGTGCTTGGAACCAATCTCTCACTGGGAAGCTTTAGTGAAATTAGTGTACTCTAGCTGTTGCTATTGGAACATAATGCAAAAGTCCAATAACTAAGACTACTGGAAACTTGCCGTGAAATGAAAGGAAACCATAACAATTGCTAATAAGAAAAGAACAGACCAGAAATAGAACAAATAAACTTGTCGTTTCTGGGTATTGTATGCCCTGTTAAAAAGTTAATAGTTTTTTCATTTTATTCTTTCCTTAAAAACAATAGAAACCCAAACCAGATAAAGACAGAACAAAACATAAACAAATATATCAAATTCCTTGTTTCTGTTACTGTCATTATAGTTAGTTTTCTGTTAAATCATCAGTTAGTTCTGTTATTTTCTGTTGTATATATATGTATTATTCCTTTCTGTATCAATGTGAGATAGACACAAAATTCTGATTATATTCAAACACATACGCTTCTTTCAAATTCCTTTTTGATAAAAGGCTTTAAATTTATGGTATGTGCAATTTTTCTTTTTTTCATAATGAGTGAGGAAACTAGTCAGAACAAAGGATGATCAATCACAAAATCAACTTATCTATTTTAATAACAAAATATAGAATAAATATCATGAACTTATTTAGCATCGCGACAAGATTTAAAGTTATGCCCTCACATACTCTAGAGGTTCTAGTAAGACATGCCAAGCAATTAGAGCTGCACGAAAGCATGCACCTAGAAAGAAAAACTTATACTCCAGAGGAAAAATAATAAATAATTTATGCTAAAATAGGATCTAGACTGAATAAGTAAGCAAACCAAGTTCAATATGGCATACAACTAGATTAGTTAGGACTTGCAAACTATAAAGAAAACATTGTGATATGATTGATGACTTTTTACTTTCATGCACTAATTATAGGCTCATTTTATAAAAACAAATGCAACTTTCCTAGTTTCTTTTTCAAATCTAGTTTCTCAAAAGTTTTATCTTGTCATTCTATTAGTAATAATTTGTTTCATTCTTTGTTCTCACATAAAATCTAAGTTGACTCCTTAACAACGATGCCAATTGTTTTCGATAATTGTTCATATATTAATGATGTATATACAATTTGCACATGAAGAGAACTTCAAATCTTACAACTTGGAGAGAACAGCTGAAGCACTTATGATAGACTATTTGGAAGGATCAACTGGGAGCCTTTTACTCATATGACATAAGAGATCTTAACCACACACTATTGAAGATGCAAAATATGGTACTTTTTTATGTGAAAAAAATATTAGTTTTCAATAAATAATGATAAAAAAAAAATCAATAGTAGGTAGGCAAGATAAGAGAAGATGGTTTCTTTGTTGCTAACTCATTCCTAAGTGAATTTGCTCCTTTCTTCATGTTCCTCATAATTCACACATGTAAGGATTAATTTAAGACCATGAGTGAAAAAGGGTTAAACAGTTGCAAGTGTTAGTTACTGCTCTTTAACTTCGATAACTGTAGGACTCCTTAGTGTTGTAAAAGAATCACTTAAATTGAAGTGCGTATTAAGGACAAACAACAATTTAGAGTGAATTAAATTATAATAGTTTTGACATATAGTACGCCAGAAATACGCTAAACCTAAGAGAGCAAATTAGATCTCAAAGTGATATAAGTATTAAGAACATCCCCTTCTTTTGTCTATCATAAAGGCGTTTTTCAAGATATGAATACCTTAACGCATTTTCTTCATCCAAAGCCTTCCAAGCCGCAAAATCCATTTAGTTCCCCATGCTACCAAAGCGTTGTCTTACTGAGGTAGCATAAATTCACAAAGAATCTCGTCATATTATCTTTCACTACTAATATAATTATTAAATCACATACTCCTACATCCACGATTACTTCATTGTGAAAAAAAAAAAAATTAGTGTGAAAATAATAACAATTAAAATAAAGCAAAAACAAAACATTACATTAATAACAAACAGCCCTGACAATGACAGTTAACTAATAGAACGTATATTTAGAACACACATAAAATTTTCTTCAAACACAATTTATATCCACAACTATTTCTCAAATTAAGCATCAAAATCAAGTCTCCAAAATTTAAACAATTCACACAAATCAAATATTAAATACAAATGCAAAAATTTAAGAATAAGAATTACAAACTACAAAACATGCAAAAGACCAAAAATAAAACCCGTCCCTCCAACTTACAAATCCCAAAATCATAGTCGAAGGGCTACAAAAAATTACAGTTACAACAGAAGCAATTAATTATATATATTGTTAAGAAGTAATAAAAAATGATATTACAACCTTCTTACCCTATTTTTAATACATCAATTTAGCTCTACTAATTGCATAACTGTAACACAATGTTAAATTTCACTAGTTTCGACTAAAAACATAAATAAAATTTTAAATCTCACAACAAAATTCTCTCTTTTATTTTCATTTTATTATCAAATAGCCATGGATTGATAAGAGAGTTGATTTCAATGATTAATTATCCACCAACACTAACCAAAATGTCACAATTTAAAAAAACGAAAAATCAAAAGTTATTCAAAACGTCTAGAAGTTTGTGATCACATGTGAATAATCATGAATTCTACATTTTTATCTTAGTTTTGTTTATGCAGAAAGAAACACAATTTTTTTTTTGTCTATCATTATAATAGAATTTATACCAAAAAGCAATAAAATCTTACTAAAAAATATTATGAGTACAACGAATACTATATATTTTGTAATAAATTTTTAACAAAACATAATTTAGACATTCAAAGATAATTCCAAATATACACGTTAAATTAGGGCATATCTTTTAGATATAGATATGAGGAAGACAAAATAATTTATACTTTTCTTCATTATCCTTCATCAAGGCAATGGATAAATAGGATATAAACATGTATTAAAAAACTGCATCAATATCAAACTTTTCCCATTTATTGCTCAGCAAGGGCAAGACTGAAAAATAAATCTTCCAATTAAAAAGCAACATAATTTCTATCATTCTAGAAAACAAGTTAATAAATCTTATTGCATAAGGACTGGGGAGGGAGGATATATTATATTTTATGGGCATTCGCAAAAGATATAATTTGTTTTAAAAAAGGTCTGTTACATAAGATCCTATCTTTTTTTCAAAAAAAATTTAAATATTGTGCTGTAATAAACAACATAATTTCTATGAAATTTCAAGCGAAAACAATATTTCAAAAATTTTATAGATATCATGACAAAAAAACGTAACAAACACAGAAAATGCTGGTCCTTGTTTGCTCCAAAGTTGATGAAATTTTCATTTGCACTCGTGAGTGGGAGAGAATAATGTGACATCATATTTGCAAAGTTAAATCATTTACACGCCTGTTAGGTTCATTCCAGATCCAACATCACAAACAAACACCACCTAGATCAACAATCCAGATACAACGGTGTTTCAAAGTTCCCCAGGAAATAACTAGATCAACAATGCTGAAACTTGCTTCTAGTTTTCACTTATTCTAGCGACAAAACCTCTACTACAGCATGAACAGAACAATCTGTGAGATCAAACTGTACATTCAAAAACATACACAAATAGATACGTCTTATCATTACAAACAATTCAAATTCCAAATGTGTCACTTCAAAACAAGCACAATTCTCCAAACGTAGATGCAGAGGATATCCAATTTGGAAAGGAGATGCTCGCGAATACAGTTCATCAAGAAACAGTAAATAGACGCGCAAACCGATAACAATAAAAGTATTTTCATGACACGGGCACACGAGTTAATTGTATTTTCACGACAAAGACACACGAGTTATTGGCACTTCCCCACCAAATGTACTTCTGGTGACTAGGAGAAACTCCTATTAGGTCATATGAAAAGTTAATAAGGAAACAAAATCTAGCATAATTCTACAAACCAAGACACAGATGATCTGAACAGACACCCCCCCCAACCAAGCTCCCATATTCCTTTCCTACGAGAAGACAATAACATGAATTCTCCAGGAACAGTTGAATTCCAGCACCTTCAATACTCGACACTGCCAGGTTGCGCGACACCTTGGGAAACAAATCCAGAATCCGTGGAAAAAGAGCCAATGCAGGATAAAAATAATATAAAATGGGTAATATAATAATGACCTTCGCATAGAATTCAACTCCCTCTCAACTTCTTCCACAGCACATTCTTTGCATATCATTCTATGTATGACCCACCCCCAAGCAGAATGCCGGTGCTGTATATGTGCCCAATTCAGAAAGAAACAGAGTGACTATTCCAAATGTGCTCTTGTTACAAAGAGAGACCGTTTAAGCAACCAATAGGGACACTAACAATAAAAAAGGCATTAAAATAAGTCAATACTCTGCTGACATTGCTTCCATCACATTGATTCCCATCTTGCCAAGATCCTAGGAGAAATTATTGAGAAATCAATCCAGAATAGGGATCAGAACACACAAGGTTACTGAATCACGTTCCGACCAATTACATCTATTATAGTGCTCCATATGCAAATGAAACAAATCCTTTACCTAGCAGGTGGTACGAAGAGGATATCCCATACTCCTCTCCCAGTTGAGAAAAACTTGGTTGAGACAGGCAAATTCCAGTACCAAGAGAAACAGTTAATACTCCTACAAGAAACAGAGACAGATAGCCAGTCTACAACGAACATATGAAAAAAGTGTACCAATGATAATTAAACCCGTTACATGACCGTCTTACATGACCGTCTTGCCACTGCGCTTCCAAAACCTACGGTACTTTCATTGCCCTAGGTTACCGAATCACGTCCCGACCAAATTTACATCTATTATAGCGCTCCATATGCAAATGAAACAAATCCTTTACCAAGCAGGTGGCTGTTTACGAAGAGGATATCCCATGCTCCTCTCCCAGTTGAGAAAGACTTGGTTGAGACACGCAAATTCCATCACCAAGGGAAACAGTTAATACTCCTACAGAGACAGATAGCCAGTGTACACAACGAACATATGAATGAAAAAAGTGTAAGAAGGATAATTAAACCTGTTACATGACCATCTTGCCACTGCGCTTCCAAAACCTACGGTACTTCCATTGCCCATCTCACAACACACTAGATTACTGAATCACGTTCGCACCAAATTTACATCTATTATAGTGCTCCATATGCTAATGAAACAAACCCTTTACCATGCGGGTGGCTGTTTACTACGAAGAGGATATCCCATACTCCTCTCCCATTGAGAAGACTTGGTTGAGACAGGCAAATTCCAGTACCAAGGGAAACAGTTAATACTCTTATAAGAAACAGTGACACAGATAGCCGACTACACAACGAACATATGAATGCAAAAGGTGTACCAAGGATAATTAAACCTGCTACATGACCATCTTGCCACTGCGCTTCCAAAACCTACGGTTCCATTGCCCATCTCACAGCACACTAGGTTACTGAATCCACGTTCCAACCAAATTCACATCGATTATAGTGCTCCATATGCAAATGGTTGAGACAGGCAAATTCCAGTACCAAGGGAAACAGTTAATACTCCTCCTACAAGAAAGATAGCCAGTCCACAACGAACATATGAATGAAAGAAGTGTACCAAGGATCATTAAACCTGCTACATGACCATCTTGCCACTGCGCTTCCAAAACCTACGGTTCCCCTATAAAACCCCAGTTAAAATTACCAAGAAATAAATTGAGAAAAACAAAATGCCTGTAGCAGACAGAAATTAGTACACAAATTAGAATCTAGGTAAAAGTTCCCAAATCACGTATGCCTGATGCTATGCAGAACCCAGTGATACTCCCGGAATTCCTTATCGTCTCACCCACAGCAGATGCTAGTCCATGAACATTTATGACAAAATTAAGGATTTAAATGAAGTTGGCCAATATTACCCTAACATGACGGTTTCCAAAGCTCACTACACATTTTTGCTTCTCGTGACTCGTCCCTGTAAGACCCAAGTGAACATCACCAAAAAGTAAATTAAAAAACCTAACAATCTACAAAAAAAATAAGGAGAAAAACATAGAACTTAAAAGTAAACCCAGATAATAGGTTACAATTCAAAAAATGAAAATAGAACAAAAAAACACATGAAAAGAAATATAATTTATCCAAAGTTGTTAATTCCAATCCACTGAATTGCATAATATTTTGTATGATTCAATCTTCAATCAGTACACGATAAGAAGACGCCATGTCCTATCAGAACAACAAATCCAGAACCCACAAAAGAAGAAAGTCCAGAATCAGCATAATGAACATTTAAAAATATGACTGTTTCAAGGGTAATTAATAAAACCTAAGGCTTTTACAACAAGGTCAGCAATAGTGCTCCAACCGCTGCTTCCCCCACTGATCACTACACATATAATATGGACAAAGAAACAAAACATTTGAAATAGACAAAAATAGAATAGAAATGAAAGTAAAAATCATAGAATTCAGAAACTCAGATCTATCAGAAACCATATGCCATGAGAAAGTTCAGAAAACAATAATAGAATAAAAACAAACTCATTGAAAGAAATGAATTTATACGAAGCAGTTTGTAATCTGCTGTATCTAAAATTGCATAATGTTTTGTGCGACTCAATCTTCAATCAGAGTACAGTACAGCACCACCTAAAAACACTGACACTGCCAACCTTGCCCCATTAGAACAAGAAGTCACGGAAGAAGATAAACAGTCCAAAATATCATTTAAAAAAAGGTGATTTTATTGTGTAAAAAAAACCTATGACTTAAGATGAAAATCAAGCTGCTTTTTGCACCAGTGCTTCCAGAAATCGGTACACATTAATTGCTCATCTTCCCTATAAGACCAAAGCAAAGATCACCGTGTAGTAGTATTAAAGAAAAAAGAGGCAACATAAATTAAAAATACCATGGAAAGTTCCAGAGTCTTGGAAAACATGACGAGATTCCCAAATCTTGCATGAGGCCTTAACTATGGGCAGAAAATCACACTGAAGAAGATAGCCAGCAGAATAAACAAACAAAAAATTCAATGTATCAAAGGTAATAAAACCTAAGGCTTTACAGAAAAAGTCAGCCAATACCACTTTCCCACCTCTGCTTCCAAAACGCTTAGCCTGTAATACCCAGTCAAAAATCACCCAGTACTAAATCAGAAAATCTAAATCCTCATAATAGAGGTAGCAAAAAACAACTATAAAATGGAGAAATCCAAGACTATAGAAAAACCCAGGTAGAAAAACAATTATAAAACGCAGATGCTGATGGTATGCGGAGAACATTACATGATATTAATCAAACCCCAATAATGCCGCAAAACCTTTCACAATTCAGTCCATATGCACGCTCGCTTCGTCTGGACAAACTCAACAAAGAATTTAAATACAACCAAAGCTATTCCCAACACAAAGCTGCATAAAGAACAGGATCACAATTCCCAGAAACAACATAAGAACACAGTCACTGTGACGTTACCCTACACCACCAAAATAAAAAATCCAGAACTCACTGAAGAAGATAGCCAGCAGAACAAACATACAAAAAATTCAATGTATCAAGGGTAATTAAAACCTATGGCTTTTCAAGAAGTCAGCTCCCACCTCTGCTTCCAAGACTCCACACATTGTGCTCAACCTGTAACCCAGTAAAAAATCATGCAGTACACAAAATAAGGACATCCAAATCCTCATTTGTAGAATAAAACTAATATAAGAAGGAAATATCTAAGAATTTAGAAGAAAAACACGCAGGTAGAGATGACCAAATGGCTGATGGTATGCAGATATTATTCAAAACCCAATAATTCCGCAAAACCTTCCACAATTCTATCCATATACACAATCTCCTGATAACTTCATCTCGACAAAGTCATCAATGAAATTAAATACAACCAAAGCTATTAGCAATTGTATAAGTTGCTGTACCTAAGATTTGCATGTATTTTATATGTTGCCTGTGCTATGTGCAGAAACTATCAGTAAAACAACACTGCATAAAGAACAGGATCACAATTCTCAGCAACATCTTATGAACCCTGACACTGCCACATTTCCCCTACAGCATCACAATAAAATAACCAAATCTCACCAAAGTAGATAGCCAGCAAAATAAAAATACAAAAATTTCAATGTATGACAAGGGTAATAAAACTTAAAAGACTTTACAAGAAAGTCAGCCAATACCACTCTCACACGTCTGGATCCAAAACTCTACAAATCAAGTGCTCTGCCTGTAATACCCAGTCAAAAATCACCCAGTACTAAATCAGAAAATCTAAATTCTCATAGTAGAGGTAGAATAAAACGAATACAGAAAGGAAAAATCCAAGAATATAGAAAAACCCAGGTAGAGATGACCAATTCATCGTCAATGGCAGAGAACATTACATATTATTCAAAACCCAATAATGTGGAAAAACCTTTACCAATTCAGTCCATATGCACAATCTCCTGATCACTTAGTCTGGAAAAAATCATCCATGAAATTAAATACACCCAAAGCCATTAGCAATTATAAGTTGCTGTACACTAAGATTTGCATGTATTTTATATGATGCCCGTGTTACGTGCAGAAACTATCAGTAACAAAACACTGCAAAAAGAATAAGATCAGAATTCCCAACAACATCTTACGAACCTGACACTGCCACGTTTCCCTACAGCATCACAATAAAATACCCAGATCTCACCAATGAAGATAGCCAGCAGAATAAAAATAGAAAAATTTCAATGCATGTCAGGGTAATAAAACGTAAGGCTTTACAAGAAAGTCAGCCAATACCACTCTCCCACCACTCCTTCCAAAACTCTACAGTATGTGCTCCACCTGTAATACCCAGTCAAAAATCACCCAGTACTAAATCAGGAAATCTAAATCTAAATCCTCATAATAGCGGTAGAATAAAACACATAAGAAAAAATCCAAGAATATACAAAAACCAAGGTAGAGATGACCAAATCATCATCGAGGCTGATGGTAGGCAGAGAACATAACATGATACTATTCAAAACCCTATAATGCGGCAAAACCTTTCACAACTCGGTCCACATGCACAATCTCCTGATCACTTCGTCTGGACAAAGCCATCAATGAAATTAAATACAACCAAAGCTACTAGCAATTAAAAGTGTTGTCTAAGATTTGACATGAATTTATATGTTGCCTGTGCTATGTGCAGAAACAATCATTAACACAACACTGCATAAAGAACAGGCTCACAATTCCCAGCAACATCTTACAAATCCCGACATTGCCACGTTTCGCTACAGCATCACAATAAAATACCCAGATCTCACTAGAGCAAAAATTTCAATGTATGACCAAATCAGCCAATACCACTCTCCCACTCTGCGTCCAGAACTCTACATACCAAGCGCTCTACCTGCGATACCCAGTAAAAAATCACCCAATACTAAATCAGGAAATCTAAATCCTCATAATAGAGGTAGAATAAAAAGCATAAGAAAAAATCCAAGAATATAGAAAAACCCAGGTTTAGATGACCAAATCATTGTCAATTGCGGAGAACATTGAGTCCATATGCCACAATCTCCTGATAACTTCGTCTGGACAAAATCATCAATGAAATTAAATACACCCAAAGCTATTAGCAATTAAAAGTTGCTGTATCTAAGATTTGCATGTATTGTATAAGTTGCCTGTGCTATGTGCAGAAACTGCCACGTTTCCCCACAATCTTACTAACGCTGACACTGCCACGTTTCCCCACAGCATCACAATAAAATAACCAAATCACACCAACGAAGATAGCCAGCAAAATAAGAATACAAAAATTTCAATGTATGACAAGGGTAATAAAACTTAAGGCTTTACAAGAAAGTCAGCCGTCACTCTCCCACCTCTGCTTCCAAAACTCTACACATCAAGTGCTCTCTACCTGTAATACCGAGTACTAATCAGGATATCTAAATTCCTATAATATAGGTAGAATAAAACGAATATAAAAAGGAAAAATCCAAGAATATAGATGCGGAGAGCATATTCAAAACCCAATAATGGGTCAAAACCTTTCACAACTCAGTCCATACGCACAATCTCCTCATCACTTCGTCTAGACAAAGTCATCAACGAAATTAAATACAACCAATGCTACTAGCAATTATAAATTGCTATTATCTAAGATTAACATGAATATTATAAGTTGCCTGTGCAATGTGCAGAAACTATCAGTAACACAGCACTGCATAAAGAACAGGATCATAATTCCAGCCTCATCTTACGAACCTGAAACTGCCAAGTTCCCCTACAATAAAATACCCGGATCTCACCGATGAAGAAAGCCAGCAGAATAAAAATACAAAAATTTGAATGTTTGCCAAGGGTAATAAAACCTAAGGATTTACAAGAAAGTCAGCCAATACCATTCTCCCACCTCTGCTTCCAAAACTCCACATATCTCTACCTGTAATACCCAGTCAAAAATCACCCAGTAATAATCAGGAATTCTAAATCCATATAATAGATAATAGAGATAGAATAAAATGAATATAAAAAGGAAAAATCCAAGAATATAGAAAAACCCAGGTAGAGATGACCAAATAATGATTGAGGCTGGTCAAGGCTGATGGTACGCGGAGAACATATTCAAAACCCAATAATGGGTCAAAACCTTTCACAACTTGGTCCATATGCACAATCTCCTGATCATTTCGTCTGGACAGAGTAATCAATGAAATTAAATACACCCAAAGCTATTAGCAATTATAAGTTGCTGCACCTAAGATTTGCATGTGTTTCATAAGTTGCCTGTGCTATGTGCAGAAACTATCACCAACACAACACTGCATAAAGAACAGCATCACAATTCCCAGCAACATATTACAGAAATTAAATACAGAAATTAAATAAAACCTAAGGATTTACAAGAAAGTCAACCAATAACACTCCCACCTCTGCATCCAAAACACTACACATCAAGTGCTCTACCTGTAATACCAAGTCAAAAATCACCCAGTACTAAATTAGGAAATCTAAATCCTCATAATAGAGATAGAATAAATTGAATATAGAAACGAAAAATCTAAGAATAGAAAAAAAACCAGGTAGAGATGACCAAATCATTGTCAATGTCGAGAAAAACCAGGTAGAGATGACCAAATCATTGTCAATGTCGAGAACGTTACATATTAGTTAAACCCAATAATGCGGCAAAACATTTCCCAGTTCAGTCGGTATTCATAACTTCGCAAAATGATCTATGAAATTAAATACACCCAAAGCTATTAGCAATTATAAGTGGCTGTATCTAAGATTTGCATGTATTGTATAAGTTGCCTGTGCTATGTGCAGAAACTATCAGCAACACAACACTGCATAAAGAAATGGATCACAATTCCCAGCAACAAATTACGAACACTGACACTGCCACGTTTCTGCACAGCATCACAGTAAAATACCCAGATCTCACCGATGATGATAGCCAGCAGAACAAAAACACAAATTTCAATTTATCTCAAGGGTAATAAAACCTAAGGACTTACAAGAAAGTAAGCCAATACCACTCCCACCTCTGCTTCCAAAACTCTACACATCAAAAGCTCTACCTGTAATACCCAGTCAAAAATCACCCAGTACTAATCAGGAAATCTAGATCCTTATAATAGAGGTAGAATAAAAAGAATATAAAAAGGAAAAATCCAAGAATATAAAAAAACCCAGGTAGAATTGACCAAATAATCATCGAGGCCGGTCGAAGCTGATGGTGTAGAATAAAACGAATATAAAAAGGAAAAATCCAAGAATATAAAAAACCCAGGTAGAATTGACCAAATAATCATTGAGGCCGGTCGAAGCTGATGGTGAAAGGTGAAAACCTTTCACAACTAAGTCCTTACGCACCATCTCCTGATCGCTTCATCTAGACAAAGTCATCAACGAAATTAAATACAACCAATGCTACTAGCTATTGTAAGTTGCTGTATCTAAAATTAAAATGAATTTTATAAGTTGCCTGTCCTATGTGCAGAAACTATCAGTAACACATCGCTGCATAAAGAATGATCACAATTCCCAGCCTCATCTTACGAACCTGACACTGCCAAGTTTCCCTACAGCATTACAATAAAATACCCAGATCTCACCGATGAAGATATCCAGCAGAATAAAAATACAAAAATTTCAATGTATGTCAAGGATAATAAAACCTAAGGATTTACAAGAAAGTCAGCCAATACCACTCTCCCACCTCTGCTTCCAAAACTCTACACATCAAAAGCTCTACCTGTAATACCAAGTCAAAAATCATCCAGTACTAGTCAGGAAATCTAGATCCTTATAATAGAGGTAAGAATAAAACGAATATAAAAAAGAAAAATCCAAGAATATAGAAAAACCCAGGTAGAATTGACCAAATAATTGTTGAGGCCGGTTGAGGCTGATGGTGAAAACCTTTCACAACAAAGTCCTTACGCACCATCTCCTGATCACTTCCTCTAGACAAAGTCATCAACGAAATTAAATACAACCAATGCTACTAGCTATTATAAGTTGCTGTATCTAAGATTAAAATGAATTTTATAAGTTGCCTGTCCTATGTGCAGAAACTATCAGTAACACATCGCTCCATAAAGAATGATCACAATTCCCAGCCTCATCTTACGAACCTGACACTGCCAAGTTTCCCTACAGCATTACAATAAAATACCCAGATCTCACCGATGAAGATATCCAGCAGAATAAAAATACAAAAATTTCAATGTATGTCAAGGATAATAAAACCTAAGGATTTACAAGAAAGTCAGCCAATACCACTCTCCCACCTCTGCTTCCAAAACTCTACACATCAAAAGCTCTACCTGTAATACCCAGTCAAAAATCACCCAGTACTAATCAGGAAATCTAAATTCTTTTAATAGAGGTAGAATAAAACAAATATAAAAAGGAAAAATCCAAGAATATAGAAAAACCCAGGTAGAATTGACCAAATAATCGTCGAGGCCAGTTGAGGCTGATGGTGAAAACCTTTCACAACCAAGTCCTTACGCACCATCTCCTGATCACTTCGTCTAGACAAAGTCATCAACGAAATTAAATACAACCAATGCTACTAGCTATTATAAGTTGCTGTATCTAAGATTAAAATGAATTTTATAAGTTGCCTGTCCTATGTGCAGAAACTATCAGTAACACATCGCTGCATAAAGAACAGGATCACAATTCCCAGCCTCATCTTACGAGGCTGACACTGCCAAGTTTCCCTAAAGCATTACAATAAAATACCCAGATCTCACCGATGAAGATATCCAGCAGAATAAAAATACAAAAATTTCAATGTATGTCAAGGATAATAAAACCTAAGGATTTACAAGAAAGTCAGCCAATACCACTCTCCCACCTCTGCTTCCAAAACTCTACACATCAAGAGCTCTACCTGTAATACCCAGTCAAAAATCATCCAGTACTAATCAGGAAATCTAAATTCCTTATAATAGAGGTAGAATAAAACAAATATAAAAAGGAAAAATCCAAGAATATAGATAAACCCAGGTAGAATTGACCAAATAATCGTTGAGGTCGGTCGAGGCTGATGGTGAAAACCTTTCACAACAAAGTCCTTACGCACCATCTCCTGATCACTTCCTCTAGACAAAGTCATCAACGAAATTAAATACAGCCAATGCTACTAGCTATTATAAGTCGCTGTATCTAAGATTAAAATGAATTTTATAAGTTGCCTGTCCTATGTGCAGAAACTATCAGTAACACATCGCTGCATAAAGAATGATCACAATTCCCAGCCTCATCTTACGAACCTGACACTGCCAAGTTTCCCTACAGCATTACAATAAAATACCCAGATCTCACCGATGAAGATATCCAGCAGAATAAAAATACAAAAATTTCAATGTATGTCAAGGATAATAAAACCTAAGGATTTACAAGAAAGTCAGCCAATACCACTCTCCCACTCTGCTTCCAAAACTCTACACATCAAGAGCTCTACCTGTAATACCCAGTCAAAAATCATCCAGTACTAATCAGGAAATCTAAATCCTTATAATAGAGGTAGAATAAAACGAATATAAAAAGGAAAAATCCAAGAACAGAGAAAAACCCAGGTAGAGATGACCAAATCATCGTCAATGTAGAGAACTATACATCTTTCCTGAGAAGCCAAGATAGCAACACATTCATTGCTCATCTTTCCTGAGAAGCCCAGATGACCACGCTAGCATGCTGGCTTGATGCTATGCAGAACATTATGATCAAATCCAGAAATTAAAATTACAGATCCAATAGTAAATCAAATTAATTCATCGTTGTTTGTCCTTCTGATCTCAAAAGAAGGGTAAAGTAAAAACCCATACTCTGCTTTTCTGGAAACAAATAAACTGCAATTCAATGCCAAAGATGTCCATGATCAACTTAAGAATAAGATTCAAGCCATTGAAGATAAGAGTGACAAGAACTATGCTTCTTGAGATCTTCAATGCACAAGGAACATCATACGAATAAGTTAAAAAGCCCAGAATCTATCTTGTAATTGAAATCATGAACGATGAATAGTAAAAATCTTCAAATAGGAGCCAAACTAATCCAATGAAACAGTAAATCAAATTAATTCAAAAGTTCTTGGTCATTCTAATCTCAAAAAAATGGGAAAGTGAAATCCATACTCTGCTTTGCTGGAAACAAATAAACTGCAATCAATGCCAAGATGCCCATGATCATCTTAAGAATAATATTCAAGCCATAGAAGAAGAGAAGAATAACAAGAACTATGCTTCATGAGAACTTCAATCTGGAGAGAAAGAAACACCGTAGAAATAAGAACAATGCCCAGAAACTTGTAATTGAAATAATCAACACTTCAGAACAGTAAGATCTTCAAAAACTAACTAATCCATTTTAAAAAAAAAATTGGAACCGAGATGTTGTATTGTTCTTTGCAAGTAAGAAATGACTTGCATGAATGCAATGAAGAATAAAGCACCAAAAAAATTGAAACACCAAACTGAAAAAATAGAGATTGAATTAAGAATTTACACAAAAAAAGACCTCAGGTTAGTTAGTACAAATGAAAAAATAAATTAATTTAATCATAGAAAAAAATTGGAAAAGGTTCTATTGGAAATTAATTTCATAAAATTAAAAAATTGCAGTAATTCTATGTGTAGAAAGGTAGCATGATAAAGAAAACTAAATAGCTTCCAATAATAATAATTGTCAATATAAAAATGCCTACAAAATAATCTTAGACATACATGTCAAATCCTGCAGGAGAGAAGTTAGATCTAATGTATGCACCCTTTTGGTTTTGACACTAGAGGCTCACTCTATAATAGTAGGTCAGGGTTTCTTTAAGGCTCATAAACAAAGTTTCAAAATTTAAAAACTATACTAATTCTGTGTAGAAAGTTATTGTGATAAAGAAACCTATATATAATATCTGCAACAAAAATAATAATAATTTTGTCATTTAGAAACAATACCTACGACAAAATCATCTGCGTTAGACATACATGGCAAATTCTGTAGGAGAGAAGCTAACCCAATCTAATTTAAACATTTGCATGCACCTTTGGGGTTTCTTTAAGGCTTAGCTAGACCCATTGGCAGGTTTTAAGTGCTTTCCACGGGTTTACTACTAGTTATTTTCTTTTTCCCCTGGAGCTGGGCACACATTCCCTCTGTGGGAAGCCACTCATTGAAGAAATTAAATATATCCAGAACAGTTTCTTGATCATATTCATCTGTGTCAAAAATCGCAGAAAATCTTTTATGATCGTGATCTCCTATCAGCAAGAGAAATCCTATATCCAAATTCAACATGCTGCAAACGAATAAAAGCAAGCAGTTCAACATGTAATGAAGAACAACATTCAAACTTAATAGTTGATTAAAAAGACTTATAACTATCAATTTCCTGAGATCTTTAACAAATAAAAATCAATCACCGAACTCAATCAAAGATCTGCATCACCAAACCCTGCACCAAATCAAGATCGGATACAACAAGCACAACAATCAGCAATTCAACATTAACACTAAACTAACTTCAGAATCATGAAATCTAAACCATCAATCATAGAAGACCAAGGAGAAAGAAGCCATAT